AGTTCAACACAAGCACAAAACCTCAGCTAATCCGCCACGTGCAGAGCCGGCGTCAAAAGGACCAAAACCACGGGAGCAGAGCTCTGCAAGCCACGCACACACTCAGGGTCTCAACCTCCTCCTCTCCATGCAGCCCCGCAGCACAAACCCCCTCTTCTACCATCACAGCACATGGTCAGCTGTAAAAGAACACACATGTGGGCTGAAAAGAACCAAAGGTTCAGGCAAGAGCTTTCATCCAAGTCTCACACGCCCACCCCTCCGATGGAAAGTGAAGGCAGCACCAATAAAGAAGATTCAGCACTGTAATTAAAGAACTTTTTAGTCCTCAAGGTTTTAATTCGAACAGACATCTCTACTATGTTCTCAACATATCTACAGCAAAGTTTACAGCCACTTTGTACCTGTTTTTCTCCCCCAAACGGCTCAGCAGTTTGAGCCATGATAGTTTCTCAGATTTGTTACTTTTTTTTTTGCAATAGATCCACAGCGGCTGGGATCCTGTACATGTACAGCATACACCTAACAACAGCACACAACTCCCAGCCCTGTTACTTATTTTTAAAAAATAAAATCCAGACTGATGCAGCAGCCAAGTCCAAGTAGCAGTTCCAGATGTTTGGACAGAAGTGCACTCATCACTTAAATTTGTACTAGTTAACGGATACATAGCACACGTCACACAGTGCTGCTCAATGTCACACAGCTACAAAAAAAAAAAAGGGAGTGCTAGGATAGACATTTTCCCCTCCTACAGGACCCTGTACACGACAGCACTTTCCAAGGCTTCAGCAAAGCATACATTAGACACCAATAGGCTGTACAGTGCAATTTAAGTTATATCATATGCAACATGGACAATAGTGCACTTAAACCGGGCGCCACATTCAAGAGTTAGAGCAATACAATCAAAATATTGAAGGTATATATTCCCTTATGAAAACTGTGCAAGTTAGTTCCTTTTCCCTTTTCTTTTTTTCTTTTTTTTTTGGTAAGTGGCAGAGTGTCCGCATTGACTGACCCCAGAGTTTGGGGAAGGGGGGGGTGAGGCCCTCAGTGTCCAGCTTATTACGCAAATACCTATGTGCAAAAGAGCAGAAGCAGGGGTGTCAGCGAGAGCGTAAGGCAGCGTCAGACCGAAAAGCCAGAGCTGGGGCGCTGCCACAGCGCTTACAGCTCAGGAGCACGCAGGTAACCTGCCAACAGGGCGTCAGCGACTTCGGGGGGGGGTGGGGGGCACACAGCCCACCCCCCCCCTCGGAGAGGAAGCAAGCTGATCATCAGCATTAAATAGGTGAATAAATATGGTGGACATGCAGGTAAGCAAAGAACTGGAGCGCTCCGCTGCGTCCTACCAGCGGCCACCAAACTGGAGGCTGGGAATGGAAAGGTTGAGAGTGCAAGCAGCCTAACACAAGAGGTCTGAGAGCTGTCTTCTCCCAGGAGGAGCTGCGAGGGTTCCACACATCTTGTCTCAGCTCCACCACCTCGCGGGACTGCTCCGGGAAGCGGCTCACGAAGGTGATTATTTGCAGGTTAACTCAAGCCTCCAGCTCCGGCTGGTTGCTGGGAAGGCAAGGGGATGCACGGCAGCAGGATCGGAGGGGGGGGAGAAACTGCTGCGGCTGCTCGCGACGACACTGGGGTTTTCCCCGTGAAGGCTGTGATCCACCCTGACGCTCGGCCAAGGCAAGCGCGCAGCGCTCGGGTGTGGATCCAGTCCTGGAACGCAAGTCAAGGGTGAAATGCCAGCTCAGAGAGAATTTTCTGCCTTTTGTTAGCTGTCACAGCTGGTTACCCAATTTCCTCAGATGCCTGCAGTTTGCATGAGAGACTAGAGCAACCAGGCAATTAGATCAGGGAAAAAAAGCCCTCTTTGCTTCTCTATTATTTAGCTCGATATATAATTACTATGTTAGGAAATTACATAACCTTTGAGTGGTTTATGTGTAGTCTGTTATGGGGAAAATGGTGCCTTCTGAGTCCTTCCCATCTGGCCACTGATAACGTATTTCAGATGTACAGGAACAGCAGAAATTCTCAACTGCACAGGGATACAAGAGCCAGGCAGGTGCAGCTCCCACGGACGTAGTTTTAAAGGGTGAGCAATGATTTTAAGGGCTTACATAGGCCCTAGACCCAGAAGGTACCTCTAGAAGCCAGCGTTTGGGGGTGGGAGGAAGGCATGGCCAACTTGTGCCTCCCCTGTTAGGCAGGACAGATGGCCAGCCACGCCAAGAAGCACTCCCTATGTCAGATTTGATGTAGTGAACAAGACTGTCGCTCTCCACACCTCAAAAGAAATTGGTATTACAAGTAGAGGGAACCATTCTTCTGCCTTAAATGAACAACGGTTTAAAAAGGGCCTTGTTATTTTTTTAACCCAGACGACTTTAGAATTAAGCTTAGGTTAGTCACGAAGAAAATAATTAAGGAAAGAAGGACTGAAGCAAAAGGCGTTAAGGTAGCACTTGAGCACTATCACATCATTTTATATAGCTTCCTATGGTTAGAGAGCTTTTCTTAGGATATATTTAGTGGTTACAGTTTTGCAGATGACTCTCCAGATACTTCTAATGACAACTAAAGATCCCGCGTTTTCACGTATCTCTCTGTGGAGTGGCTTTTAAATAAAGGCAGCTTCAGTCCAAAACAGCATCAAGTGTCACAGAAGCTCAACAGTTTTCCAAAGACATCGACACTGACCTAAGGCAGCTCCATTCACTTCAGAAGAGGCAGGCTAACAGCAAGCGCCTTTTAAGATAATCCTGGCCACGTGCACTGCTGTTAATTCAAGTTTTCTCAGCTCTGGGCAGCTACCACTGGAATCAAGCTGAACAAATGCCTAGGTGAGTTAATATTTCAGAGCCACTCTTACCTGGCTTTTTAAAGGAGAAAAAAAAAAACCCTCTAGTGAAAATTTTGGTTCTATAAAAGCAGGCTGCAGTCACAGAAACAGAAAAACCAGCTAGGAAATAGAGAGACTTGGAAAAAAGCTTATCCCTAAAGTCTTGAAGCAGTTTTAGCAGCTACAAGTGATCTAAACTATTAGCGTTTTTGTAGTGTGACCGCCTCCATCTGCAGCAGCCACCTGATACGTCAGATCACCGTTAACTCCCAACTTCTGCTTTTGAGGTGTCACAAAACACAGTAAGAGAGGGTGAGAGAAAAAAAAGTGCCCAGGTGGAACAAAGAGGGGCTTGTGGCACTGCAAATGAAGGGCTGCTCTTGCACCCCAGCGATGCTGCGAACCTGTTCGAGCGTACAAAACCAGCCAGTGCGGCCCAGGGTGCCAAGAGGGCAGCTCTGAGCCACCGGTTGGCAAGGGAACGCCTCCACCAACTACTTCACCTTTTTGTTTTCCAGGTAGAATGAAAAAAAAAATATTTGTTCTTCCTTAGGAGATATTTGTCCACGAGGGACAATTCCACCTGAAGGTCATGGCTTCAACATTAGCAGCAGAATCCCTACTTCAGTTCTGTATTGCACTGAAACGTCTTGCTCTGGTTTGGTATTCAATGTACTGCTCCCAAGCTAATGCTCAACACAAAAAACCCAACCAAGTGTTAGATGTGAAGGCTACTGACAGTATCACAGACTGGTAGAACCTGTAGTTATACCGTTTTCTAGTTTTTCTAGGAAACTAAAGAACTAAGCTGCCTTACTCTTGGAAAGAAAAAAGTGCTTTCAGACAAAACGCCTTTACCTATCTGTACATAATTTTGTACTTTAATCCTGCCGAGTATTTAGAGAGTTCCACAAAACCAGAAAAAGTCCAAAATAAATTTGAAACATCCTGTTTCTTGGCCCATCCTGGTCATCCATACAGTTGGGTGGAGGTAAGAGTTCCAGCTTCTGCTGACACTGTACACCATTTCGAGACAGAAAAGCTGCCAAGAGAGGACACTACGCCCGGCCGTGTACATCTTCTGTAAACAAAACAGAAATCCCTCCCAAAAAAAGCAGGGAGGTACATAGTGTGAAGTGGAGGTTTCAGCAGTGGGAGGACTGAGGGTCAACCGTACCCAGAGGGCTCTGCAATACATGCACTTTCCGTGTTTAGTCTTTTAACACAAAAGGGGCTGGAAAGGAAAGACCCGAGGCAAAGCCCTGCCAGCTCACAGGTTCTCCTGCATCTTATCATCCGTCTCCATCTCCGCTAGCTGCCTCCTCAAGGCGTTAACCTTCGCCTGAAGTTCCTTGTTGTATTTTATGATGTTGATCATTTCTTCGTGGGCTTCGTCTAGGAACTTGGAAGGCCTGTTCCACCGAAGAAAAACACCTGAAAGCCCAGAGGCAGCGCAAGTCAGAAGGGTTTCTTGTTACAAGGAGGAAACGTCACCCATATTCCAGCAGCTCACACGTACAGTTTATGCATTTTCTCCTTACCCTCCCCTCTAAATAGCATTTAGAAATACCAACCCCGCCTCTTCAAGTTCACCATTCTATTAAACAAGGTTAATAAAAAAAAAAAAGAGGCTTTCGTTCCTTTTTTCTCATATACTGATCAGACCAATCCCTATCCAGTCTCCCCCCTGCCCTGACAGCCTGCTTGCTTCACTGTAATTAACTCTTCAGCCTACATGGGATGGAGGAAGTTTCTGCAGCAGAGCCTACTGCACCCAGATCATCCTGGCCAACGTGGGAATGGAGGGAAGTCCTGGCTGGTACAGAACAAAACCCTTAGGCCTGCAGACATCTAGAGATCAGGCTGTATCACTGCAGAAATGCTGTGCTAAGAAGTTAAATGAGGCTAGGAAGGCTCCCTGGCGGAAAGTAGCATGTCACCAAACTTAGAAGGAGAAAGCGTTATGCCTCTGGGGATGGTACATGCCAGGAATATTTTGGAAGAGATTTCAAAGGGAGTGAGATCACCATCAGCTGAGACAGACTAAGCAGAGAGGAGAGACAACAGGAGTTTACACTTAAGAAGCATTACAAGTCGCACAAAGTATGCGTTGCCTCTAACAGAAAAAGCAAGCCTGGCTTACCTTCCCAGAGCTGCAGGCTCTGTGGGGCAACGGAGGGCCAGATGACAAGGCTGTTGGCCTCAAAAAGAGGATTCTGGAATTTGCTCAGCTCTTCAGACCTGTTCACCCAGGACCACAGGGACATAGTCTTTTGTGGCAGCTTCAGTTTAGACCTGGCAAAGCCACGGGAACAAGTTAGCTTTCGCTTTTATACTGCAAAGTCTCATTTTGTTTTGTCAGCACCCCACAGGCTAGAACGCCACAAGCTTTCCCGAGTGCTACTAGCCCAGACAATTCAGGCTAATCCCTTCAATACCTCTCACCGACATGGCACAGGGTGTAAACCTAAAGCAATTTACTCGACCTGGCTGATTACAATTAGGTTGGGTGAGAAGATGAGGAAGTAACATTTGTAGGCTGGGTGGAAGCTAGCTGCCTTCTGTCCAGATGAAGAATCAGTCACCTCCCCAAAGTGGTTCGACTGTTTTGAAAGGGACTGAACTCCTGCGCGTCGATGTGGTAGGTCTGCATCAAGGAAGGATCGCAGCAGAATTCGCAGAGCCCCTTCAAGCAGGGTTATTGCTGGAACTGTGCGATGGGCACGTCTGATTAGGTCCCTCTGGTGGCAGGAAGCATCGGAGCACAGAGAGAAAGCAGCGCTGGGACAGACCCACCTCCTGGGGTTATGGCACAGGGGTCTCTCTTCCTTCGAGTCTGGCAAACCTCATTCTGCATGCATTGGCCAACTGAACTGCCACCCGGGCGGGAGAGTCACCATCCCCGTGAACGCTTCAGACGGCACGAGCTTAACATCAGACTTCAAACATTTTCTGGGCTCACAGGCTGACGTGTTCAGAGGTGACAGGGAGATTATTGCATGTAACATTCAATACTCCTTCAAATTTCGTCTTAATAGGTTTCAAGTCTAACTTGGTTTTGCAGTTGACCAGTTTAGCAGCCCGCAGAAGACAGAAGAGTCTCTTCTAAGCGAAGATTGAGGGCAGAGAGGTTTATAGGAAGCTTTAAATCGCCTTCCTTATCTGTAATACCAGTTCTGTTTTTCCCTCCTACTCCTTCAGTGGTCTTCAGTTAAGCAGGAGACCATCAGACATGAGTCAGGAGTCCTGAGAACAGAACCACCAAGGAATCCAAACCTCTCTGCCATCTGCCGTGGGAAGCTCCGGTCCTCCCAGGCTCCACCCTGGTTGCTACTCCCAGCAGCCCCACTCAGGGCATGCCTAGAGCTGCCCCAGGGGTACAGCTCAGCATCTAACCCAGGCTAGGATTCAGAAGCTGGGCGCTGGGCTGCCCAAATTCCTTGAGCACCACAAGGTTGTAAAAGCAAGCTCAGCCCAGGCCTCCCAGTCCCTGACCAGGCAGGCTCCAGCAGAAGGCAGCCCTGGCTGCTTCCTTTCAGAGGCTCACAGCATTCGCTCAGAACCTCAGCCACGCCGATTGCCAACTCGCATTTCCCCAAGTCACCCCAAGGCTGGAGGGGATTTTGGTCCTTCTGTTGGACTGCTGCACGGCCAGAAGGACCTCAGACCTCATCGTGACGTTCACAGCCAAACAAGTAAAGCTTTTGTCAAGCTGTAACTGTGAGGCAGATCCTTCTGACAGAACATCTTCCACTGTTTCCACCTTCAACAGTTAATGGCAAAGACCCAAGCCTTCCATTCCCGGGGGAGTCAGGACCACCAGCCTACAGAGCAATGTTCTTCCTCCACAGTTAAGGGAAGAACCAGACTTTCCAGCTTTTTCCTCTGACTGCTTTGACCTTCTTCTCCAGCCCTGCACGGCCAGGTTTGCTTCCTACAGCTATGACTCACGTCATTGTTGAGCTATAGCTGTTTATTCTTTTATGGAAAGAGTTTCTGTGTAAGAGACTATATAAACTGGTGATGGGTGGAGATTGTTCAAGGCCACACAGGGAAACAGGAAAAAAAAAAATCTAAGGTATTAGCTTGGACTTTGGGAAGACTAATTCAACTCCCTGACCATGCCACAAATTTCTTTGGTCACACTGTCCCACTTGTAAGAGGGACAAGCTCCCTCACATTGCATCAGGCTAAGAACTGCAACAAGAGCAGCTCACCTGTACTGAGGGAGATGCACAAGCACCCTCACCCTTTTTATAAACCAAGATACTATCTTTTTTGGTCAGATACAGCCTGGTATTTAAAAGGTTCAAAGCGAGCATCCTCACCAACCTGTCGTTTTCGTTGTTTCCCAGGAAAGTCCCAAACTGTGAAGCATAAGCATGTTCAAAGAGCATAATGAGGAACTGCTCGTTGAATTCAAAAGAGCACGGGAACTGACGAAGGATTTGCCACACACAGTCCAAAAAGAGGAGAAACACGGGGGCCTCCCACTTCTGCTTGCTATTTGAATAGGCTGATTGGGCACAGCGCTGCTGAAAAGGGTGACCAGCCTATGGACAAGAATCAGAGAAAGCACCAAAGTAACGGGAACTGAAGTACATGTAGCAAAAAGACTTTCAACCTAGTTCTGTCCATGCAACTAAGCTATGACTATTCTTTTCTACAAATGTCATTTCATCAAGCACCCAGTAACAAACTGGTAGCAACCATGACCAACTCTCCTGCCTTTTTCAGGTTACGTACACAGCCCTGTATCTGATCAGAGAATTTTACCAAGAACAAGCGGGTATAGGTGCACCAAAGGACCAGGCTGAGGATACAGAAGTACCAAGAGTAGAACAAAGGTTTTGTGGTTTAGTCTGAACTGTGTTCTCTAGAGATATTTGCCCTAAACACACAAAACTGGCAGTTCCCCAAAACCAAAAAACT